AATTTTAAGCGCGAAATGCAGACGATACTATGGCACTTTACCAGTCACCCGACTCATATTTATTTATCGAATCGCCTATATAATTATTTGTCTTTTTTTTTAAACTGCAATATTATTATTACTTTTTATTGTTGTCTTCAGCCTTTGTTTAAATTGCGTGTGTAACCGTGGTAAACGTCGCCTGAGTTCACTGATGTCACTCATTATTCTCTAGTGTACTGACTTTTTTTTAAAAAGTACGATTTGATTTTTGCCCGAATAACTGCGAATCAACGAACCAGAGAAACGAACAGAACTGTATAACCTTGGTAATAGACAATTTATTACTGCTAATAAAATGCAATCGAGGCGATAAGACTGCAGCTTGGTTTAACTTTTTTTTTTTCAAATGATGTATTGCAAACTTTCCGGTAATAGAAACGACGAGTTTGGTAAAACCGACCCATCAAATTTGATTGAATGATTTTCGGAAAAGATTGTGATCACGTTGATGAATTCACTGTAAATGATAAAGAGTTGAATTCAAAAAGGTTTAGAATGCATTGCTTTTTGTGAATTGTTTATATAATTTCACTTTGTTTTTAATTCACGTCACACGCTCAACGTTAAACAAAAAACAAACATCGCAAAATGCTAAAAAACACAAAGCAAATCTTCTTAATTTCATGTGAATCTACAAAGTTAAACAACAACAAAAAAAGAACACAAAATCCGGGTACAAGGTAATGCATTATCAAAATCCAATGCCTGCCCCGATTGCATGGAAAAATCCAACCATATGGAATATTGTATTGTTTCCAGCAAATTATCGTTTGTAAATACATTTAGAGACGATAACAAAATCTGGTTGGCGTAAATACTAAATAAGTCAAAATGAAGAAAGAGCAACGAAGAGAGAGAGCGAAAAAAATAACTGCACAAATAATTTAATGGTTAAATTGTCGTTGATTGCGAAATGTTCAATTAGTCGTCTCTCTATTTAGATTGATATGTATTTTGTAAACAAGCACACACACACACAAGTTGAGAATTCTATACGGTATAATTTTATGCACTCGAAATGTTGAAACAGTTGCCAATGCATGATTTCAAAATGTTTCGCCAAAATTGGTGCGTTCAATTTGATCCACTCACACAATATGATATGATGATGATGAGTAAGATGATGTTGATGACAAAATTCATACGTACTGCCATCGCAGAAATTGATGAATGGAATGAAGAGATACAAAGATGTATAGTAATTTTACGATTGTGCCACCATATGCTTTTTAGAATGCTTCAGGCAATAAATAGCAATGACCTGATTTTTACATGTGCGCTAGCTGCACACAAACACACACACACACATGTGCTGAACTGAACATACTAAGTACATTACTCTTATTTATCATTTCATATGATCGGGCACATTCAACTCGTAAAGCCGAAAAGCACATAAGTTAAGTGCTCAAATTCAGTACAACACATTACAATCATCAACGTCGTCATCGCCGAAACGATCGAAATTCAATTCTTACCGCAAACATGTTTCGCTACGATATTTTGTTCTCTCGCTTCTTCTACAATGTATAGGATGGAGTATTAAAACGATAACAAAAAAAATGATAGAAACATATATGCACAAAAAGAAGCGCAAAGTTCAACCTCAATACTTAAGTGACATTTTATGGCTTTGTGTGCTTCGTCATCGAATCTTCTAGCCAATTGAAAGTGCACCAAGTACAAATCATATAATATTATTTTATATGCAATTGTTGATATCTAATTGAAAAAACAAGCTGTCCTTTGGACATATAGAATAAATACCAACTTCAATCACATATTTTATGACTGTTCACATCGGTTCACATCGGTTCACATCATCTAACATTCAATTTGTACAATTTCGATAAGCAATGTAAACAACTGAAGAAAAAAAAAACAGTTTTTCAGACAATATTTCATTTTTTTGCTTTGTTTTGTTGAGTCATTGATGAAGCTGTAAGATTTTTATTTATTACATGTTATCGAACTAACAGTTCATTCTTTTTTTTTGTATTAAACGGCATTAACCTATAAAGAATGTGCAAATCTTCTATTTTTTTTACGTTGAACAATTCCATGTATGACATGCAATCGTAGTTGCTTGATAGTATTTAAAAGTGGGTAAATACTGATGTGTATGTTTTTTTTAGAACGGGATATTCCATATATATTTTGAAATAGTGGATAATTGGTACATTTCGAGTCGAAATTTCACGGGAAATTTTCGACTTTATTTCATTTTTTTCAGAGTTGAGCAATTCGGATCGGAACAAAAACAGGCCGCAGGCCAAACGTACATAGACTACGTTTTTTTATACCGACTGATAAATTGAGTTCATATACTACAGTCACAACTCTAGCCTATTATTATTGTTGTTGTGACAGAGTAAATATTCTGTCGCTGAGCACATGGTCCTTTGGACGTCTACAATACCAAAATAGAAGTCCACAATCAGGAGAAAGACAGGAATTCTAATAAGTACAAATTTTACAGTTGACTACTAATTTTCTGCAAATATGATCCAATTTTACTAGTTCGTTTGTATGAACATGCCAAAATCCATAGCTTACGTATTTCGAGACGTCACAAGAAGGTCACATAAATTCTTTATTAATGTTTATGGCAAAATAACCTCTTGGTATAAATATATTTATTCTTCTTGAGTTATGTGCACAAATTCTCAACACTTGTCGTAATAATCAAGTGCCTTGAAGAGCATACGAATGATGATGTACAATTATTTTAATAGAGATTTCAGTTTTAATAATGACATGTGTATGTTTTGAAAGAAATAAAAAATAATCCACCTTTAATTGTTCAAAAAATGGTTGAAATCTTAATTATCTTGAAAATAAATCTTTTTTTTACGTTTTTCGAATCGCATAAGCTATAATGCGAATCCAACAAATATGTAGTTGTCTAAAATGAGCGTATAATTGTCTAGCAATTTTCTACGGCAGAATTTATTCTACGTTTTAAATGTGTGACTTGCATTGTGCAATCGGCGAAAACTGGCCAATATAAAACATTTGGAATATTTACGATCGACATATTTCCATGCACAATGTTTATTACATTTTAAATGTTTTTTTTTCGAAACGGTTTTTTCGACTCTTTTTTTTGCATGTAAAAAAAGATTTATTGTTTTTTTTTCGTAAGTAACCCCTGAAGTAATGAAACTAGTTGGGAAAATTAAGCGAGAAATTAGGCGATAGTCTGAATTGTTACTATTATTAAAGAAAACCATTATTACTGTTTCTTTTGCAAATTGATCCAAAACATATATAATGGTAGCTGCCAAATTGTGTTTAATTATGTGAATGCGTCGAATATAATGATAAATTAGTTCAACCCATGAAATCTTATGCAAAACTTCAAAGATAAAAAAAATTCAACATTTGCCTAAAAAGAGATACAATTAAATGAGTGCTACCAATGTTATTTAACGGCACGGTATTTTCAACTCATTTTATAAAATAATTGTTTGATGAACGGCTACAAAATTGTGTGTTACACAAATCAAAGTGTGTGGCTTTTTTGCCTCCATAAAATGGTTTCGTTGAATAAAAACAATAAATTACGGCAACACTCACATTCGTACCACACACAAAAACAACACAGAGCCATCAACAAAATTACGATTAATACCAACAAAGTAATGTATGTGGTCGGTGGAATATTTTCACTTTATTTCATGCAAGTTAAAATAGATGAGTCCTTGGCGAAAACACAAATCTACATAATTCGAATGCGTATCGAATTTTTTCTTGTTGCAAACAGAACAATACCATTCTTCACCGTTTTGAATCGGTGTGTGGTTTTTTTTGTTGTTGGAAAATGTTAGTCATAAATTACGAACGATTAGCGTACATACAGCATGAACATTGAATCATAAGTTCGACATGAAAGAAATATTAACCACAATATTTGGGTCTTTGTTCAGCGAAAAATGACTTTTAACCCATGTTCGCACATTTGTAAGTCATAAAAACAGCCGAAAAATGTGTTAAAAATTGAGCAATTTTTCACTTGAATAATAAAAGTGTCAATGGTTGTCGGTTCTTCGTTTAATTGCTTGTAAAAGTGAATTTTTTAAACGATCACCCTTTGACGAAATCGCGTCAAAAACAGTCAAACATGACACATGGTATGTTATCGAAAAAGAACATAATTTGCAAGTTCTTTTTTGAAATTTCGATCCAAGCAGCATGTTTTTTTTAATTTAATTTACTTATTTCTTCACTTGTGGTTTTTCGAACCGTTTTCACAATTCTCACAAAAGCAGCTGAAAAATTGAAAAAAAAAAATGGCGTGAAACGGATTGAATTGAATAAAAAAAGTAAATAAACTGAAAATGACTTACTAAATATGGGAACTAACCGTTCGGCTTATTAATTAAAATCCACTACATGGTTCATTACAATTTAAGCAATCGCATTTTGTTGGCGAAAATGTTTTTTTTTTCGTATGTCTTAAGCGATATTTGACGATATGTGTTCAAAACGTGTTTGTATTTATTTTAGCTACTGTTATTGTTCCATTCGCAATTGCGTCTCTTTGATTGTGCGCGCAAAATACGTATAGTAATTTTCATGTTCAATTAAGATTTCATATTTTTGTTGTTTTATTCCGTTCGTTTTCATTTCCAATGTTACGCATTGCTATTTATCGTGCAAAGAAACGATGCGATACCATGATTTAATTGAAAGACGGGGCGTGCCAGATTCATTCAAAATAATGTTTATAACTTACTCTTTTCACGGTCGCGTGGTCACACACACACACACACAACCACAAATTGGGTTAAAAGTCAGCATGCATCAAAACATGTCATTATTTCTTTGCCTTTCGCAATGATGAATAGGATTTTTTTGGAGTCACTCTTTTGTTGTTGTTCTTGTTGTCACATTAAAAAAGCCTAACTTTGGGAACTGTCTTAATCAAATTGTCGTTTTATTCTTTCATTTTATAGGCAGCAGCACTTTTGTGAAGCACAAAAGTACGTATGAAGAGGAAACGGCGTTGCATTGCTCAGTGGACATGAATTTAAATCGAAAGACAACACGAAATTCATGATACGTACACAATAGGACGCGAATTTCAACTTAAAAATAAAATTTATCATTCAAATGAAAACAGTAGCTGCGATCCCATCATCATTTTGACTCTGATGAAAAACGAACAGAACGTGGGAAAAAAAATCGAAACAATAAACCGAACCAATCTAGGCCGAAACTAGTTTTTTTCAGCATAAATCCAAAGCGTAAGAAATTCGATAAAAATGACGGTTGTATCAAAGTACTTGGACGAAGCGATTGTACGCTATGAAAAGATGGGCTTCTCTAAACAAGCGCTTTCGAAAGGAATCGTTTCGGTGGCGATCGGTGCTTATGTGGCACATATTTCATATCCATATTTAAATAAATTGATAAAAGCGGCGAATTTGGCGCCAGTTTTATCGGAAACAGCTAGCACATCGGACGATGATACATCCGATTCTGATTTTGATTCAGAGTCGGACGATTATGAAAGTGCGATCGAAAGCAATAACATGAAAAGCAACGGTAATATTGGAACAAATCGAATCAATGATAAAAATTGCAATGACACGAGTTGTAAGTTTATTTTTTATAATCATCATCGAAATTATTTGATGAAAATTCGTAATTTTGTTTGTTTGTTTGTGTCATCTCTCAGTTCCTGATGGAACGACTAAACTCGGTGGCGACGATAAGTTGGACAATGATGAAACAGCGCGTGGCGTTGAAACGGACACCGGCGATCGATTGATCGTTCCACCGATTGTCAAACGAAAAAGAAAACACTCCAAAGTGATTAAGCAGCAAATAAAACAGGCGGAAAAATTCCTGGCACAAGCGACACAGGAACGTAAAAAATCCGAACAAGTGGGAAATATATCGTTTAGCCAATTGGAAGAGAGTCGAATAGGATTGAATTTGGAATTTCTATTTAAATTAAAGCGTCTGTTGCATATTATGATACCGCGCATATGGTCACGTGAAATTGGCATTTTGGGTGTGCATACCGCTTGTCTGATATCACGAACATTTCTTAGTATCTATGTAGCCGCCATCGAAGGTTCCATTGTCAAATTTATTGTACGACGTGATTTACGACAATTTATTATTGGCCTTATGAAATGGTTTAGCATTGCGATACCAGCAACATTCATCAATTCCATGATTCGCTATCTAGAAAATAAATTAGCTTTATCGTTTAGGTTTGTATTTGCACTTGTTTTGCATTTTCATTTTTGATCAAACCGTATTAAAATGAACAAAATTTGGTAACGTATGCTTCTTTTTCAAACAGAACGAGATTGGTCAATCATTCGTACAAATTGTATTTTAAAAATCAAACTTATTACCGGGTAGCAAATTTAGATGGCCGAATTGAAAATGCAGATCACAGGCAAGTTTATATATAATGATTATTAACAATTTATCGCCAAGTAATTAACGATACTTAACATTAATTACTTTGCGATAAATTGTCGATAACTCGATTCGAACGATTTGATTTGAACATAATAAAATTTCAATAAATAAGATCACGTTAATTAATTGAATCGTGCTCTTTTCCACTGTCCACAGGTTGACTGAAGATATTTCAGTGTTCACAAGTTCGATTGCTCATTTATATAGCCATTTAACAAAGCCTTGCTTTGATTTGATGCTAATTGGACTGGCGCTGATGCGTTCATCGCGTAAAATGCGAGCAAATATCGTGACCGGACCGGCGTTAGCGTTTGTCGTCATTTCAGCAACGGCATTAATTTTACGTCAACTTTCGCCGAAATTTGGTCAATTAGTTGCTGAAGAGGCAACGCGTTACGGTTACTTGCGTCATGTGCATGCACGTGTCATAACCAATGCCGAAGAGATTGCATTCTACGGTGGTCAACGTGTCGAATTAATGCAATTGCGTGAAGCATTCCGTCGACTTACCAATCAAATGAATATCATCTACACACAACGCCTGTGGTTCGTTATGCTCGAGCAATTCTTTATGAAATATGTGTGGTCTGGCACCGGAATGATCATGGTAAATATCAATCATTTTTGTGCGTGTGTAATAAAATGTTTAAAAAATATGAATGTTTATTATAACAGATTTCACTTCCGGTTCTGATGGGCAATCAACAACCACAACCACAATCGTCTGAATCGTCTGCTGTAATGCCCGATGATGGAATCAGTGAGAGAACTCAATATTTGACAACGGCCAGAAATCTGTTGATATCTGGTGCTGATGCAATTGAACGCTTGATGTCATCATACAAAGAGATCGTTGCATTGGCCGGTTACACATATCGAGTGGCTGGTATGCTTGAAGTGTTTGATGATACAGCGCATGGACGATATCACAAAGTTATGATGGCAGAAGGTCGCAATAATGCTGGTATTTTGGAATTCCGTAACGGACAACCATTGACCAAAGGTCGTATTGTTGTCAATTCGGATCCAAATGATCGTTCAATTTCGCTAAATAATGTACCGGTTGTAACACCAAATTGCGACATTGTCGTACCAAGTCTAACATTACGCATCGAACCGGGCATGCATCTTCTAATCACCGGACCAAATGGTTGCGGTAAATCATCACTATTCCGTATTGTAAATGGCTTGTGGCCAATTTATGGCGGTGAATTGCACATTCCAAAACCGATTATCGGCAAACCAAGCATGTTCTATATTCCACAAAGACCATACTTGACCATTGGCAATTTACGCGATCAAATCATTTATCCAGACACCGTTGATGATATGCTATCGAAAAATTACGACGAAGATATGCTGCACGATATTATGAAAACAGTCGCACTTGAACACATTGTTGCTAGGTAATGCGAGTGATCATTTTTTTATTTTTCGCCACTTTATCATGTCTCATATACCTTTGCAGAGATAGTTTTGATGTCGTTCGAGATTGGAAGGATATTTTATCGGGCGGAGAAAAGCAAAGGATGGCTATCGCTAGATTATTTTATCATAAGTAAGTTTCGCTTTTGAGAACTGTGATAGGCACCGCGGAAGTGCGGACAAGTAAGGATCGCGCTTTTTTGTATTCAAGTGCGACCATTGAAAAATTATATGGAACAAATGCTGGCACCCACTAGTGGCCGTACATCTCTGGTGCCAATAACAGTTCTGTCTCTTTTGCACAAATTTTCCATTTTTATTCACAATTTTTTGAAATTTATAAATTTTGTGAAGCTTGAAAACTATATACGTCTACTTCCTTTTTAGGCCACAATACGCTTTGCTGGACGAGTGCACAAGTGCAGTATCGATTGATGTGGAGAGTTCAATTTATGAAGCAGCCAAAACAGCTGGAATTACTCTACTCACTATCACACATCGACCGACACTTTGGTAATAGAAAACTTTCACAACAAATGCGAATTTTGACACCGAAACATCTCATTTCTAATTGTTTTAATTTTTCTACTGTATTCATTTAGGAAATTCCATACGCATATATTGCAATTCGATGGGCAAGGTGGATGGGATTTCAATTCGTTGTCTGAAAACGATACTCAACATAAGGTTCCTTTGATCAAGAAGCAGTAATAAAATAAACAGAAGAAAATTCAACGTGATAAATGATGATAAATTTAAATCAAAAACTACAACAATTCTTTTTTATTTGAACAAATGAGCCGACATCACAGTCAAAAATAGATTTAATTTACCAATACGATAAGTTTATGGTATTTTGTGAGCCTTTAAACAATTGTACGTAATACATTAAATAAATGTTGGTTATGTCCTAACTTTTATGTTATTGCTTTGATTTTTTCGCCAATTAACATTTCGTTTTAAGTTTTCGACAGATCTGTACCATGAAGCATATGACCGTTTAAAAAAAAAATGAAGTTCGGTAACAATATAATTTCAGGTTTTTAAATTAAAGTATGATGTGAAAAAAAAACTTAAAATCACATATTCAATTCAATCCAAAAGGTCGAAATTTCAATGCGAGCCAATCGATTATCCACAGTCTTACAAGAAGTACATCGTAATTTGGTAGTTCAAAGTACCCGAGTTGGACTTTGCATTATGACGCTCTTTGAAATGGCACAATAAGAGATAGAAATTGCGTTTCATTACGGAACAAATTACAATTATGTATTCCAATTCAAAGCTGTAGTTCATATTACAATCGAATTTTGACTGATGTGTTGTTTATTATTAGATACCAAGTCGAATGTGATTATGAAGCGTGGTTAAATCAAAACATTGTCTTTCATAAAAAAGCATTATGACATCATATACACGTGGTATTTACATTTTGAAAACGTATACAAAATGATTCATATAAATAAATCGACAGGTATTATCTTTGTTTTGTTTTTTTAAAGTAATTCTGTCGGAACATGTGATATTAGCATAGATATTTGCTAAGAAGATTGAGTGAGAAACGGCATTTTATCAATTTGGATGAAAAATGTTTGATATAGATACAGATGTTGTCAGACGTTTTGATTTGAAAAATGTTCTTTTATCACACGTTCAAAGCATCAATATCATTTCTATCACCATTTTCATCATTTAATTGAAAAACATTTACGCTCAATATAAGGTATACCCGGCATTCAAATTCAATCACTGATTTGTTTCTAACCGAATAGCAAAGAGCTAGCTCAATCCAAGTTTAATTTTGATTTCAATTCTCTAGTATAAAACTATCGTTTGTCACATCAAAATGCAGTTTGATTATTTTTTATTTGTGTTCATTGTGATATTTGCTGGTTTAACGAAGGCAGATCGCATGACCACTCTTAAAGAGTTAAAAGTATTGGAAAAGAAAGTCGATGCTGCTGAACTGCAGTCTTATTTAACAACAATTGAACGTTTGGGAAAATTGCAAACTGAAGCCGAAGAAATAAGTGATCTCTACAAGGATGTGGTTAAATCTGCGTTTGGCATATCACTATCCAAACCAACGATACAGAGAACACCGATAGTTGGCGCCCATTGGACAGAAAGTGAAGAATCAAACGTTGGAGCTCCACGGCGGGCAGCTGAAAGTTGGGTGCGATCTGCTCATAATCATCGGAAGAATTCACAGGGGGCACGAAAATCAACAAGCTTTTGATATCAATTTTTTATTATTCCGATATCTTTTTTTCTATTTTATGACGTATTTATTTAACTTATTGAAATTTTTTAGTCATTTAAAATGCACACTCTAACTCTTCAGTTCTGAATAAAATTAAATCACTGTATTATAAAGTAAATCAAATATTTGTAGGTTTTTTTCATTTTTAATTTAGATTGGTGTAGAATTTTTAATGAAAACTACAGATGTCAACGAAACACCAAATCTTACTTCGTTTTCGTTCTATGTGTAGAATGTGTCTATACACATTGTGTAATCAAAAAATTCATTTTCAGTTCGCAAAATTTTTAATTGATTCAGTTCGGTAAGTGTTTAAACAAACTTTTGGGTTCGAATTCGGTCAGAAAATATATTTGTAAAGAGACATGTTTTTGAAAAATAAGAATTTGTTGACATCTTTTGAAAAAAAAAACCGACTGAATTTTCACTTGATGACAAATATTTTTTTTCCTGGTCAACATTGCATTTAAATCGACTATTTTTCATTTAAATATGTTCAATGAATCGCTCCTTAGTAAAATGTTATTGTAGATTTTTTGCGCAAGCTAAGATACTTAAAGTTTAAGTCTTAAACCTTGATTTGCGCTATTTCAATATTTGATGATTTAAAAAAAATGTTGAAAAAAGAAATGCATTTTATGTATTTGCTATTTGTTTTTTTATTTTTTCGTTAAGTCGTTGTCTTATAAAGTTAAAAAGATTCAATTACATAAAGTTACAATTGTTATTAGAAATGAGAAATTGAAGCATTTTTTCCAGTGGACTAAAATTTATTGGTTTCTTTGATTTATAATATCACGTAAGCGTTCGATTTCTTTTTCAAGTTCGCTTGTTTTTTTATCGGATTCAATGAGTTTATTGCTTAAAATTTGAATTTGTTTATCTTTCTCCTTATTTTCATCTGAAAATTGTAAACCAAGTGATTTAAATAATGTGGTGTGCTCTTCTGTTCGGATAAATTTCGTTGAACAGCTCATTGCCGATTGATTTATTGAATTGGCCATATCGTCAACATTATCGATGCTGTATGCACATGAGCATGCTGCATTGGCATGGGTCATTGCACTACAGGCACTTGAAATGTCTGTCCGGGAGCCATTTGAACACTCGTGTGATGGTAACTGCATTCGGAGCTGATTCAGATCATCTGTCACCTGAGTAAATTGATTTTGAAGATCATCATTGCGTTGGGATGAATTCTCGTGTATACTGTTGCTATTGCCATTCCAAAGTTTCAATTTTGTCAGTAGTTCAAATGTTCCAAATGAATCTGGTCGTTCGGTGTGTTTTTGGAGTAGCCTTCATTAGAAAAGAAAAAAAATAATTTGTTTTTTTTTTACAAAATGATGACAAATGATGACAAATGATAACATACGTTTTAAGTAGAGTTAAATATGTTGGTGGTATATTGGATGGAAAAATGCCCTTTCGAGCCGCTTCAATGGTCTTCAGGCGTTCCATATCCGTACTAAATGGAATTAGCAATTCCAGCAGTATAATGCCCAAACTGAATACGTCACTCTGTAAGAATACAAACAGTTCAGAACGGTCTCTTCACAAAATTCTTCGAAATTAAAAAAAAGCTCACACACGTACCTTTGGATTACAATAACCTCTAAGCTGTTCGGATGCCGCGTACGTCATAGTTCCGATCATTGAGTCTGGTGCATGCTTTGCTTGCAATGGGCACGCCAATCCAAAATCGCCAAGTTGTACATACAATTCGCCATTTTTTTCACAACCAATAAATATATTCGACGGTTTTATATCATGATGAACGATATTTTGTAGATGAATGTAACGTAGTCCGCTTAAAACTTGAATGAAAATATTCAATGTGATGTCCAAAGAGTCGTAATTTTTCGTTAGATTTTTCTCAAGCGATGCACTCGACATTGATTGACGTATTCGTGTTTGATTATTCATTTTGGAAACGGCACCATTTGTCCGATTTCGATTGACTTCATCGTCGTCCGAATCATCAACCACCATTGGACGATCCCATTGTTGTATCGATTTTTCGATGAATTTCAAATAAAATTGTTTAAAATCGTTATGTTTATTGCGCTCATTGAGCCACGCACGCAACGTTAATGGACGATATGACATTTGAATGTAAAGTGTTGCCCATTTTAATTTTAAATGCGGCTGTGATTCATTGAATTCTAAACTATTTTTGATAATTTTGTTATTGGGATGTTTGGCATTTGGTTTACACAGACGTTTATCTTGTGTGGCATCCATGACAGAAAAATTGGCACCGTCCACCACATCATCTTGGGTGCGTTGAAATTGAATAAAATCGGACGAGTCATCGGCATGATTGTTTGTCGGCAATTGTAATTGATTCCGACGATCGGTCACTAATTTACCGGGGCACGTTCCAGCATCGGAATCGGAACTCTCACTATCACTTTCACTGTCTTCTTCTTCGATATTTGTTGTTGTTGTGGCACTAAATTTTGAATCAATCTCAAAGATGCCCACTTCGTGGGCTTTCAGGAAACTCATTCCTCTTGAAATCGATGTTAATTTCGATGTTTTTTTCACATACTTTCTGCAAGATAAAATCCAAAAACCAAGTATTAGTTTTTCTTCAAATTCCTTTTTAAAAAATACTCGAAAATTAACCCTATCTAATTTGGGTGCTTACAAAACGAAAAACTAGATTAAAAGAGCGGTCCATTGTCATTATGAAGACTATTGCTCTGTGAAACAGTCTCTGTTGAAAATGTATTTCACAATGAGTTTAAAACTTTCACACTCTTTTCCATCGTAATTCTCATCACACCCCAACATGTCAACAACAAATAAATGAATAAATCACAGATACCTCTTTCGATTGGTTGGACACTTTTTACTAATCGGTTTCCCATCGGTTAATTGTCGATTATTAGTCGATGGATCGTCAAAAAGTGGTTCTAACCAGGCAGCTTTATACGGCACAATATTATTATGATTCAAACTGGCAAATGTTTTAACTTCGGCCAAATGGGATAGCACACGTTTAATTGTTTTATACTTAATGGTGACTTTTTTAACCGCATACTCAATGCCGTCAAGTTTATTGCGGGCTCGATAAACCCGACCAAAACCACCGCCAGCCACAAAGTTTATTTCGTCAAATTCCCGGTGATAACGTGACCATTGCATACCATCCGAATCATTCAGAGGCCAAACCGATTGTAAATTCAATGGTATTTCAGTTTTGCCCCTTGCAACCGTTGCCAATTGATACAAGGCTCTCTGATACTGGCTTCTCATCACATCAAATTCACCCATACGATATGTTTCATCGATTAAATTCATGTGATGCAATTGTTTGCAAATCGTTTTATACAATCGTTCGGCATTTGATTTATCCGGTTCGATCATTGAACATAATTGTTGCACCAGACTTTCAACCAATAAACTAACCGGAGCCGATGCCTTTGTTGCCAGTGTTTCTACAAATGTATCTCGAACACTCGGTGTATTATCCACTAATCTCGTTGAACTATCAAAATGGTCAGTATTTGTAGAATAAGCTGGAGACTGTTGAAGTAATTTTGATACCGGCGATGGTGCATTTTCAACATCTTTTGAAGAAATACAAAAAAAGTATGCATGATTTAACAAACAACAATAGATTTGAATAATGTATACATAATGCAATACACGAGAATGTTCTCGAAATTCACTTACATTCGAATGCGGTTACACTTTCCAAGTGTGTCCAATCGCTGGCATTATCGGATTCCTCATCTGATTCCATTATTTCTGATTTTGTTCTTAAGTAACTCACCGGTTTTATAAAATGTTCATAGTAGTTTCGAATTAAATTTATGCGAAATGTACAAAAACGAGCGATAAAAAAAGACACCTAACTAAGTGAATGAATGAACGTCGTGTTGGTTTGTTTGTATTGTTGAACTGTCATCACACATACTATAGATGTATTTCTGGTGTTCGTAGTAGAATCATGCGTTTGACATTTGTATGGAGTGCGTTCCAATTGTTTTTGAATGTAACATCTTTTATTAGTCTAATGGTTCGTGTATTTTCACTAGATGGCACTATGTGATCCGATTATTTTCACAAAACGTGATTCAAATCTCAGCACCACACGAACGATGATGGTAAAACCGAATCAATGAAATCATCGTAGTTTATAGTTCATTTATTGGTATTTCACCTGTTGAATCAAATGAAACCGCAAATAACATTGTTATGATTTTTTTTACTGGTGATTTTGCCTTCTGAACGTTGAGTAGGTTTGAAAATTTATTATTTGCGATGTGTTATTGATGTCAATCAAATATTCAATATTCAATTTCAACGTGGTTTGCATTTAAATTAATATTGATGTTAACAAAAAAAAAAAAACATCATTTATTTAGCGAAAAAACGAGTCATAATAAAAACAAAAACAAAAAAATTGTTGAAACATTTGATGGAACCAAGTTTCCTTCGGCTTTGCATACAAAACACAGGAATTTTTCCTCTGGAGAAGAAGAATGGTGAGTTCTCCACCTCCTCATTTTCGTCCTCACCGTTCGTCCGCCTCAGAGAAACAACAATATCGGAGGCAAGCATGATATACATCGCGCAAAGTAGTGCCACTTCTTATTCCAAAAGGGAAGACATTAAGCAGCGGCATGTTGAGACATGGAATGAACAGTGCGAGAATATGGTGCGCCACAAAATTTTATTCGCAAATGGTTGAGGCGTTATTGTGCTTTGTATCTGAACATTTTCCGTTTGAACAGAGTCAGCACCGTGCAGCTGATCTGTTTTCAAATCAGTATCACATTCGGATACGAACAGTACGGTTGTGTTGTTATAGTTTATCCATTTTGATGAGGTAGTGTTTTATTCCTAATTCAAAATTGTTTTTACTCCGTTTGAATAAACCGTTACCGCGTTACTCTGTATTAAAAATTGAGTTTTGTTTTTTGATTTGCTGTCGCCTGTGGATCAAAGCATTTTCTTCACTTTTTTCCCACCAACAATTTTTTGTTATTTGATCTGCTTTTGAAACTTTTTGTGATTTCCGTATTTTCATTTTTTTTTGTCTCTCATTCTCATCAAGAGTTTCATATTTCTATTTCCACAGAAATTTTATTTTTCATTCATTAAAACTGGAAAATTCGGTCGAGTTTATATATCCCAATAAACAGCATTTTAAAGCAATCTCCTTAACGATCAGTTTCATTTGAAATGGCATGGTTATTATAATTAAATCGTCTTATGATGTTCGTTTGCTTTGAAAATGTTTTGCAATTTACAAATCATTTTATTTCACTAAATCAAACGGAAAACTAATGAACATTTAATTCTCGTGTTTTGTGGCCTATTTAATAAATATATATGAGACGCAATCAAAACCGATATACTGATAATGATATGATATGTAACCAAAGAACGTTCGCAACAAGAATATATGAATTATATTGAAGGAAAAATGCAGAATTGCGAAATGAGCTGTTAATCTACAAATGCACTTTGACACATATTACAAATAGAGAGTGTTGGTGTTTGTTAGATTCATATATAGCGAAATAGAGAAGAGAGAGAATAGAGAAAGTAATAAAATATCATACTGCTCGTTGAAGTGCACCAACGATATCACTATCAGTAGCATCAGTGGCCGTACATATTTTGCGCGTGAAACTGAAAGCAGATAAATTAGTTAAAATTATCGCATGCATCGGAGATAAAATATGACACTTTTCGAACGCAATTCTTTCCACCGTAAGTATCGCCAGAATTTGATGTCTTTTTAATCCGTTTTTTTTATTAAATCGAAATTCATTGCTCTGTTGAATATGTTGTTGCAATTTATCTGTATCGTTTGGTGTTTGTTTTTGGTTTTGTAAGAATCATGCAATTTGACATCTAAGCCAAATGTTGATTTGAATGCGTTTATTCACATTTCACAACATTTCGACTACGTTCAATCGATTGGATTATTGTGTTGTGTTGTTATCGAATGTAATTGCATTCCTTATTATGTAAAGCATTTCGTTCATGTTTTTTTTTTCACGCGGTGTCTAATGTTCTAAATTAAGAATCACTGCAAATAATCAAGTTGTTTGTAAATAAGCTACAGTTATGAATATAGCGGAAAATGGTGTAATGTTTTGTTATGGTATTTCCGAGAATCGAACATGTACACACACCAAAAATTCCAATATGTATTTTTTGTTAGATGAACGAAACGTGCAACCACGCTTACATACGTATCGTTGGTAAAAACATTTTCATATTTCAAGATTACATGTGTAGCATTTTACTCTTACCATACACACTCACTTTTAGCATGCGCTTATATTATGCAAACATTAAGGTGCTCATCATATGATTAGAACACCAATTAATTATATGGATAGGCATTTTTAAGTCGTTACCTTAAGGCATCAGACGATGATAAAATCGTTAATACTCGATTGAAATCGATGGCATTTTATCAGGTAGACGGTGGGGATGAGTTTCAAATATTTAATTGAAACTGATAATATTAACCCCAGTGTGCTTCATTAACTGCGATTCTCCGAGCAGCGGTCACATCATGTTAATTCACGTCAACAGTTTCGAAAATGAGAATGTCACAAAATTTGCCACACGGAAATAAGCATTATATATTATGCACTCTCCCGCATACACACTTAAATATATATATATATATACATCCTGTGTTGGTCGGAATTTGAGAATGTCTCTTAAGACTTTCACGGCATCAAATAATTATCAACTTCTTTTACACGTTGGCAACGCTCAGTTCATCGCATAATTGCCTTCATACACTACATCAAGGCATAAAATCCACTCAAGTTTAAAACTCTCAAAAGCACACTTTATTTGGCTAATTTGGTTAATTTGTTAAAGGAACTAAACCTTACGTCTGAATCAGTTGGCAACAAGCAGTGTAATGTTTGAGTCGCTTGACGATTTCATTTCATTTTTGATCGTCTGTATTTTTTTTTTTTGCGATATTCCGTTTGAATTTCAAAATTTATGTTGAATATTTTCGTAATTGAATTATTAATTGATAAACAAAATTTAATTTCAGTAAATTAATAAAATGTGATACATTTCAAACAAATCGAAACAACTCACAAAGTTCAAAAGCAAAATGTGCAATTTACGCTTTTTATTTTCATACATCATATTTTTCTTCTGATTATTATTTTTTTTTTTTTAAATCAAATGAAAAAAACGAAAATGTTGAATGTGAAATATATAATTGTGTTACAACCAGTTTATAGGTGTGAAATTTCAATCAAGATAAAAGTCACGTTCGTTAATATTATTTTCTTCTCAATTGAATATTCATAATTGCGAATGGTGGCAATAAAAACAACAAAACCATTTGACATGCAGAGTAAAGAAACACAATTGCATTGAATTCAATTTTTTTACGATGCAATCAATGTGCATGTTATTCTTTAGTACATTTCATTTCAGTGATTTTTCTTGAAATTAATGGATTGAAATTTGCAAAAATAATTAAAATTGCTTACGGAACGGGAAACTATTGAATGGCTTGAATAGTCGTCAAAAAATTGACGGATGAGTAATTATAATTTTTCCACGTTAAAAAGTTCATTTCATAACGTTTTGTTATTGTTTCTTTTGTCCCATTAAAATACACCGCCAATTTGCTTGGAAGCTTGATGTATCGATATATAAATGAGTAGAATTCAAAAAAAAATATTTCTGACACCCAGAGCTTTAGAAATCCTCCTCAAGTACGTTTGTATGCCCAGAAGTCCGCTGAGCAAAATTTAAAGTCGTCGGACTTAAACTCGAGCTGTAGTGACTTTTGTCTGAAAATTCATGAAAATACACAGCAATTCGGTGGTTTGATGTACTACCCTTCACAAGATCCAACGATTTTAAAGCTTAATTACACATCAAGCAATATATATTCAGCAATATAACAAACTCAATCGAAAATCATGCACAAACATTTGGGGAAAAATTTGATAAAATTAAATATATAAAAAGAAATAAAAAATCGTCTGAAGCATAGAATTTTTTTCTTTCTCGTTACTCTTCTTAGAGGCTTCCTGCCTTTAATTTACACAGCCATTCAATCAATGGCTCATTTTTATTTGTGTCTAAATTGTATGGACATCATTTTTCAAGATATTGATAAACGAAACAACAATGTAAGAACTTGGGCGTATGGTTTCCTGGCGATGAAAACGTGTCACTGCGCTTTTATCTCACTTACAAAAATACATCGGAGACATATAATGCCAAACACACGTATTCATTGTTATTTTTACGTTATTTATGTTGCGGAACTTAAAAAGCTGAAGTTGAAAGAGATACTTGTAAACGAGTAAATTTGTAATTCTTATTGTGAAAGATATTGTATATGTTTTTTGTGTCTTGTTCAATACACTTGATGAAATCTATATTTTTATTTATTTATTTATTTATTTATACACTGTCTGTTTAAAGATTGTATACATTCAATTACATTTGTTATCTGAGGTATTCAATAATACTGTCCGATCGATTTCGAAGTGGCACTCTGTGGATACTGATTTCATCTACCAATAACAACCAGAAGTTCAGGTCCTGAACTAATTGTTCTTTAAATCAAATCAAACTTGATAAATTGCATAAATTCACATGAATATATTATGCTATGTGTATTTGGCGACAAAATAGATTTTACACACAAATATACCAACACGATGAATAATAGCTGATTTTGGGTATATTTCGTTGTATCAATTCTCCAACTCCAATCATTTGCAAATTATTTGGCATAAAATTCGCAATGTTCTGATCAAGATCTGATCCCCTAGAATTTTTTGTTGTTGTTGATAGTCGTAAAATTGCCATCTCGTTTGGTAAATTTGTCGCTAATTGCACTTGAGACATTTTCTCATATTCAATTTTTCATTTCTATTGTCATAACACTTCAAAAAGAGCGACAATCTAGTTAGTATACTCGGAATCGTTGAAAATTGGAGATGATATTAAAGTCTAGAGAAGGTTTTATGTAAACTTTGCTAGACAATAAAGAAAGAATGTTCTTTGGTAAATAAAGTACCAAGAACTGAAGCAATGTAATTTAGACGGACGTCAAAGCATTTAAATTTGTCGAATAAATTCTTAATAGAATGTTAAATACCACCGGCTTTGTGTGTCATAATCACATATCAATTCAAATACTCATGAGACGTAGCATAAAAATTGATGGCGATGCGGAGAGTTTGCGTACATTAATAAGTTATTTATTGACTGAAATGGTTGTTTGAAAATCAACATAATTTACAGCAGATTGAAGCTTTTTTATCTATGCACACATATATATTGATGTGACAAAAAGTCACACCGCCTACGATTATCATCAAAGCTATTCGCATTATTGTTGCTGAGTGTGATGCTCTGAGTGCGGATATATTTATATACAAATTCGTTAGAATTTCAATCTTATGTTTGATACGGATTCATTTTCGTTTTATAATGCCGTATAGATTGTTGTTCATCATCATCATTGTTGATATCACACTGATTCATTCGTTCAATTAAAGCAGCACAAAAACATTCAAAAATTTCAACAAAAAAATGATATTAATGATGTGTGTACAAAGAGTTTGTCATCTGTAATAAAACACACTCACACACAACATTTGAATACATGATTAGACAAAAGAGTAGGACGAAAGCGTATATCTAAATCATTTGCTTGTGTTCTCGTCGAAAGCTCAACGTTGCATTGACAAAATAACAATGTCAAATAATAACAATGCGCGAGACTTCATCATCATTGCCGTGTCAGCTAAAAGTCATTGCACATATGACAATTATGCGCGCGACAAAAATTTCATTTTCACGTGTTTGTTTTTTCAATTTACACATGCATACGCACACTTTTTTTTGGGTGCCAAATTCAATTTCACGTCGTGTCTGCGAAATCTCAACTCCCAAAATGCATGGCACACGTACATCTTTCAACCCCCGACCCAGACAGTCACATTGCGTTGAAAATATCTTTGTATCAATATTTCTATACCATAAATTAAGCTCTGTGTAAGCACAACACAGTATGGAATATAACTCTTGATTCGTCAATGCCATCGAATATATTTATAGCATAGAAATTTTGACGCCAAGAATTTTGATAGAGATTTGTAAATCTCTGACTCCTACCGATTACGCCAACCATTTTCAAACACACACACACACACACGGAGAGAGAGAGAGAGATAGACGAAATAACAAAAATACGCGTTCAAATATGCATCGCAGACTAGGGAAATTTCATTAAAATATACTTGAATATTGGTGAATAAATAAGAGGAAAAAAGTCAATGCTTTCTGTTTCATTCAATTAGTTCGGGATTACGATATGCAGCAACAAGTTTAACATTTCGTTCATTAAGTTTCCATTCAACACAATTATTTTGCGTCGGCATAACTCCACCTTATTCAATTCGTAGTGACATTAAATATTCAAACAATATTCAACTCATAAATCACATGCAAACAACGAGTTATTTAAGTGGGCATTTAATCGTTACTCATAGAATTCAGTTTCTTTCATTTCTTCTTTGAATTTCAGTTTAAAATCGTGATTAAAACAATGCCATAAACAGAAGTAGGGGCAATGTAATGGATAGGAGATGGAGGGATTTTATTTGATAATGTTTTTGATGAAAAAAAATTCTTCCAAGTTGCTAGGGATTTGACGAAAATTCTTCCCCATCATCAACTTTGTTCCGAATGAA